TTTTCATAGTGAATTTTATAGTTTTTAGTATGTCTACGTATTTTTTAGTGTTCTGGCCGTTGTTTACAAAGTGAATTTTATAGTATTTATAATGTTTCTACGTATTTTTCAATTTAATAATAAATTCTGAGATGGAGAGTGAATATCTTAAGGTATTATTATTAAGGGAAAATCGAGCCTCTGTTAAATCCTTTCTTTTGATTGCAGCAATCCATAAAGCCCTGCGTTGTTTTGATAATTCACTTTTGTAGATCAAAAGCCGATGATTTAAAATAGCAGGAACTGAATAAAAGTTCACATTAGCCCTGTTACCTCAACTTCCACACCCAATTACGATGCAAATCGCTGGCATTTTATTTAACACAATACGTAAACACACAAAATCCGATAATTCAAATCTTGACGTTTGTCCAGAATGTGACAGAAGTCATTGTTGGGCTCAATGAACTATAACCAAAAACTGGAATGCTAACACATAACGACGAACTTGAAGCCTAGTGCGGCTGCTGCGGAAGGGATACCTGTTTTTGTCGCACTCATTATGTTAAATGGCGAAAATTGCTTCCAACACGTATTCCAATTGATGAAACCTGTGAAGGGAAATATGACAAAACTTTCGAAAACGTCATATGTCAGCGAGCAACAGAAAAAAACAACATTCCCCCTTGTGGCATCTGTCTTTCATGGCTTCATTTTTTTGGCAGATATGGCAATGTGTGCGCATTCCAGTTTTTAGCTATAGTTCATTGGTTGGGCTTGACCCAAATGCTTGACCCGAACTTCCATATTGAATTTCGTTTTTGACAGGTCAGTAGATTGTCTAATTCACTAAAATGTTACACTGCCATGGATGCGGTGATTGCGATTCACTACTGCCAATAGCCCAATACCAAAACATAGCTTGCCAAATCCTGTTCAATTTAGCAATACGGCTCTTTCTACGATTCCACCACGGTGCCTACACTGAAGTGAACAAACTCCAATGAACGCCAAACCTTACGTTTGGTAAATATTTTGTTCAAAGAGCAGAGCGTGCTGAGCGGAGCCGTAATCACGTGACCAGCGAGCGAACAGAGGAGTTGAACGCTGTATCAGCGTATCAGAGTGCCAGAAATTTTAATAAACGAACGCGAATGAGCCTGCACCGAGTATATTTATCAAATAAACGAACGCTAAATTCAAGCTCGGAGAACTCAGATCAAAATACCGAACGCACGGACAGTTGTCGAACGAACGGACAGTTGTCAAACGAACAACAGCGACAGGTGTTCAAACGGCTGCGGACGGACGTAAATTCGTCAAGTTGGATCCTATATACCTAGTAGCTTGCCCCTTACTGTATAAAACACAGTTGTGTTGGTATTTGAGCACTTATAACTCGAGAACGGCTGGACTGATTTTTATGATTTTTGCTTTATTGGATTTGTCTTTGTCCATCTTAGGATAATAAATAGAAAAAATCCAAAAAAAAAATATCAATTTTACTTATTTATGAAAAAAACTCACTAAGCCCGCATACGGCGCCATCTCTTATAACCGATACCAAGTTTACCGTCACATTTTCATTGCTAACCATGTGGATTTTATTGTCACACACTTTGCACAAAAACAATTTAAGGAAAGCACTTTATTTTTAATTGTTCTTGACAGTAAAAATGTCCAAAAATAAATAGAATGACAATGTTTTAATTGTGTATTTTATTTTGTTGTTGGTTCGTTCATTCCGAAAGAGCGCGAACTGGTCTACCTGTCATTTCTTGACGCTTGACCATTGATGTTCTGTGGCTAAGTTCCGTTTCTCCTCTTAGGCATCCCTTGACAGCCGTGTTCCGTGCCGACTGTTCGGAGTGCTCCGTCCGGCTGGTGTCGAGTGGCAGAGAGCCAGGTTATGAGTCCGCCACAACCATTTTGTAGGTACCTAGAACGAAGCTTGCCGTTGCGCGATAATTTCATTGCAGATACAGTAGAACAGAATACTGCTAAGGAACTGGAGCTATTTTAAACAGAACTATTCCACTATTCCGATCAGATAAAGTGGTGCAGAAAGAGTAGATCAGATAGAATAGTGCAGATACAGTAGAACAGATGGAGTATTGCAGTGCATGCAGTGCAGATAAAATGAAACAGGGCTGCGCTGGAGATTTTTTTTGTTTTCTTTACATTTTTTGAACATTCCTGTGCCTGAGTTTATTTATTTGGTGGTACACTTTATAAGAATAATGCCCACAAGATGCCTAAAAAGGGATGATGTAAAATTTTAATTTTAGGTGACTTCTGATTTAGAGAGTAAAAATTAATTTTCTTCAACCAAAGCCAAATCCACCATCGAAAAAAACTGAATTTAATTCAGTTAATAGATACGTTAACATAACATTTAATAGGTATCTAATAATTCAGAGGAGGTACGAAGTTCGCCGGGTCAGCTAATTCTCTATAAATCTGGGCTGAATTGAGTCTGATATCTCAAATAGTTTTTGAGCAATTGAGCCCCAAAGTTGAATTTTAGTCGATATTTAGTCAAAAAACATCAGTCTCAATTTTCTCAAAAACTATAAACCTGAAAATATTTTTCAATAAAGGTTTTTTAGAGCCTAATATGAGCTACAACTCCTGAAAATTTTGATTCAATATCTCTCACGAATTTCGAGATATTGAAGCTTAAAGATTTTGAAATCAGAATCCAAAGGGGGTAAATAAAAATCGAAATTTTTATTTTTCATATTTTTCAAATTTTGATTTTTCCAATCGATAGAGAGGGTCTAAATTAGTCGAAAAAAACCCTAACATCATTTCCAAATTACTAATTTAAAGAGAAAAAAAATCAGAGAGAAAATTCCGTTTTTTGGTTCAGATTTTTTTTTAAATCATGACAAGGTTAAGAAGAATTTCCAATATTTCCTTTAAAATTCGAGCAAATCAAAATAAATTATACATCATTAAAAAGAGCATTAAATTCCCTAAAAATCTGTGCTAAATTAAGTTCGACAGATCGTATACTTTCTGAGCAATGAAGCCGTGAAGCTGCACATTTTCAATTAACCAAAAATTCCCAAACTGTTGTTTCACCTTCCTTTGAGTAAATTCAAAATTTAACCTCTTTAAAAAAAAGCTATATGGAAAAAAATTCTGATTATTTACTACATATCATAGTAATCTAAAAATGTATCACATCAAAATCAGAGAGCCTAAAAATTCCCACAAACACCATATGGTCTTATAGGTATCGAACCCTAAAACCAATCTCATGGTATTGATACATTTTTATAAGACATGTATCTATGGCCCTATTGTCGTTTTATAGGTCCCCTTAAGGGTATGTAGAGAAGCCGGAGATCCAAATTCAATAGCTTTGAATATCTGTGATGGAAAATATCGAGGGTTAAAGGTTAAAACTACATCTTGTTTGGGGTTGGAGTTTTTTCTATATGATCCTATTTGATGCCAAATTTTAAAAACCTTCTTATACCTATAAATTTCATTATATTTAAGGAGTGATGAATACTTTGATTTTTCACAGTAGCTTGAGCAAAATTCATAAATTATTGGGGATTTTACCGAAATTTAACTTATAGGTAATCCAAAAGTTGATAATGATGAAATGATGCTTAGGAAGGGATTTTTGATTTTTTCCCCTCTTGGTTTTCAAAAAATTATAAACTTCCTGTAAAATTAGATTTGGAAATTGGGTTTGTGATAGATACTTTCATCCGTAACACTCATAACAACTCCCAAAATTCATAGTTTAGGGAATTTCCAAATTTAAATTGAGTTGAGAAGTTGATATTTAATATGCTCAAAAAGGGATTTATGATCTTTGAAAATTCTCATAAAAATACACTTGTAATTTGTAAATATCTATCCTTATCTTGACTACAACTACAATCAAGGGGTTGGTTGCTAGTTCACAGGTCATTACCCGCCATAGAAACTAAATTCTTAAATTACCCACACGAAAAAATCCTAGACCACATAAGAAAACCCACCCATGTAAAACCCATAAAGCGAGACATGTAAAATATGTGACCACCCCAATATAGGGCCTTAATTATAATATAAGGATTCCTCAAATTTTTACTTCCGTGTTGTCGTGTCGCCAGAGTGAAAAATGATACTTATATTTTAATGATCGATGAACCTCCCTCAAAACAATTTTATTACCAATTAAATTAGAAGATTTTTATTTAATGCAGATGGTCAAAAAGTTGAAAATAAGTTGTCGTCCACCCGAAAATTTGTCTTGAAAAATTTTTAACGGTCCCGTCCCGAATCGATTGTTTTCGCTCGGTAAACGAGAACCAGGAAGAAAAAAAAAAGGAGCCCGAAAAAGGACTAACAAAAGGAGGAAACAAAAGCGGCTCGAAGACAGCAAACGTGTGTTTGATTCAGGGATAAGGGCAGATGCTCAGTCCCAAAAAGGGAATAAATCTTTTGTCATTTTTGCATGAATCTTTTCACATAAGAAGTGAATTTAGTTCAATTAATGATTTAAGTTAAGTCAGAACAAGCTCCGCCTCAAACTTAAGTCACTATAGGTGGGATGTCTGGATGAAACGCCTCTCCGTTTCAGGAAATCGGGAGAGAGGACCTGAAATCTGGACGAAATCGTGTTCAGTACGAGATGCGCCGGTGCTTAATCGAATTAGTGTGAAAAATGCGAAATTGGTTAACATTAATTTGAGTTAGTGCACTAATGGGGACCAATTAAATAGTCGTTTTTCTAAATTAGTGCTTGTTGATTTTTATTGTAATCAGTTTTGATAATAGTGTAACATTAATTGAACTCAAATAAAGGTAAGTTTTTTTTTTTATATCAAAGAAAATTTATCTTTATGGGGATTTCATATGAATTTATACCTACTTTTCCCTAATCGATCTCAGTCAAGTATGGATATATCATTCCTTGAATGAAAGCCCATTAAATGAACCAAATGAAATGAATGGGTCTCTTATAAATGCACTCTAGATTGACTGACAAAAGAAAATTTCTCAGTGAAGAAAAAATGTTCAACTTTGACGGGCAGCACACGACAACCGAGTACAATAACGAAGGACCTGCAGAAGTAGCCGAGTACAATGGAAATCGGAGTTTCTCGCCTAGGAACAACGCCAGACATTTTTCGGTTAGCAGCCTGCTGAGACTGGGCCAAAAGAGACGGGGGTCCGACATTGATTCCGACGGTAATTAATTAATTAATTAATCTTTTTGCATGACAACTAAGAAATTTGTTTTAATTTAAAATTCCATAATTTGTATAGGTATGTGCTTTTGGATTCATTATAATAGCTTGGAACTTTCATTATTCATAAATTATTGGGGATTTCTTCGAAACTTTGAATATAACCTGAAGTTGATATGATTACTCTACTTTCATCATTAAAATATTCTAAAAATGTAAAATTACATTTTGAGGTCTGTGATGAATACTTTGATCCTTCACAGTAGTTTGAAACTTTCAAAATTCATAAATTATTGGAAATTTTTCAGAAATATAAATTAAGTTGTAAGGTGATGTTCATATAATGCCCAGAAAGGGATTTATGATTTTTTTCCTGCCCAAATCTACAAAAAAATCATCAAATACTTGTGAAATTACTTTTGGAGGTCTATGATGAATACCTACTTTCATTTTATCATTTGTGGGAACAATTTTTAGGGATTCAGTCAACTTAGGTTTTCTATATCTTTATTTTTGTTTAAACTATCAGGATTTTTTTGTATTTCCACCATTTCAAGAAAAACACTTTTACTAAGATTGCTTTCTTTTTTCAAAATTTCAATATCATTGTAATTTGGAAAATGGCTTGTTTTGAAATTATGTTCAGATAGTCCACTTGTTGTTTTATTTAATTTTATATCACTTTTGTGTGATGTTATTCTATATTTCAATACTCTCGATGTTTGTCCAATGTAAGTTGAAGTACAATGGTTACCTGGGAAGAATAGAATAAACAACTACTGATGATTGTTTCAATATTTTGTCTGTATCTTTAAGTTTTTTATAAAGATTTCCAACAGGTTTATTGAATTTTTGATATATTCTAATAATATCTTCATTCTTAAAAATATTAATGATTCTTTGAGTTAAATTTGGAATATTAGGAAATGAAAAATATTTCAAATTACCTAGTTATATTTTGTGAAATATCTGATCTATCATTTTCCTTTATGTCTTGTGTTCTTGTATTATATAGAAGCTTTTTCAAGAAATATTTTGGGTATGAATTTTCAATTAGTACCTATACCTATTATATAATTTTAATATGTTTTTCTCTTTGAAAGAACGGTGTGAAATTCTTTCATTTCGAGTTTTTAGTGCAAGTAAGTAAGTAGGTACACTTGATTGTCTGAAGATTTTTGATTGAATACCTAGAAATTGTACCCACAAATTTAATTGTCAATAAGATTTCCAAGTTATTTATTTATCATAGTAGGTAGGTACTCAGCTTGAAACTTTCAACATTTATTATTTGGAGATTCTTTCAAAGTTTCAACCAATCGGGATTTTGACTTGATCCACAGAAAATAATTTATGATTATTTTTCCTTTTTGATCTTCAAAAAATCATAAAATTCCTGGGAAATCACTTTTGAAAGTCTGTGATCTTTCACGGGAGTATGAAAACTTCCAAAATCAATAAAGTGAGGATTCTTTTGAAATTTAATTCAAGACGTGGAAGTTCAGGATGCTCAGGAAGGGATTTATATGATTTGCTTCGCAACTTGACCTTCAAAAAATGTTAAAATTCTTGTAAAATTATCTTTGGTGGTTAGTGATAAATACCTAAATACCTACTTTGATCAATCACAATAGCTTGTAACTTTCAAAATTCATATTTTGGAATTTTTTTCAAAATTTAAACCTATCGCAAGTTGACGTGACGCCCAGAAAAGGGTTATTATGATTATATTTCCATTTTGATCATAAAAAAATTAGAAAATTCTTCCAAAATTATGTTTGGAGGTTTCCGATAAATGCTTACTTATTTGATCTAGGTATTATAATAAAACATCCAAAATTCAATAAAAAATTATGCAATTTTCGTGAAATCACCTTTGAAAATATGACATAATAAATACTTTAAAGCATCCCAGTAAATTTGTAACTTCCAAAACTCATAATTTAGGAATTCATCTCACTTCCCATTAACTTCAACTTTTGAAATTTTCAAATGTTTTATCAAAGTTTGTTTTGTAAATACTTGAATCTCATATATATTTTCTTATAGTAGGTACCGTCAAACTGGGTGACTTGAGACGGCCGGGCGAGTTGAGACAAAACTTTTGAGGAAACTAAATATATACCTGGCAATAATGTATCCGACGCATTTGGGCGCTAATCGTATTTATTCGACTTATGGGTTGTCAAGACGTATTATAGTAATGTTTGAACCACCGCGGATGCGATAAGTTAATTTTTGTGCATTTTTTTACGCATGTATGTAATTGTTGAACTAAAAAATTGCTGAATAACTTTGCATACTGTCTTTATACTGTCTAGGACTGCCTTTTGAAACTTTGCTCTGAAATAGATTGATATTTTGTGCATCTTCTGGAATATAGTAAGTTACTTTCCCTTTTTAAGAAAAAAATATATATATATGAAAAGGTAAAATGGTGCCTGATGCGGGTGACTTGAGACTTGCCTCAAGTGACCCCTAAACTATTCAGAGTGTTATTATGTGCCTGTTTCAATTGTTTTTATTGTGTTTTCAGCCTATTATGGGAAAATACAAAAGAAAACTTGGCTTCTTGGCTGCAGACCCTATGCTAATTATTATAGCGAAATTTTGAAACGAGCGATAGAAGAACGAGTGAATCCTAACGAATATTATCAAAAAAATATGGCATTTCTAGGTGCACCATTCAACGAAAAGTGAATAATCTTAATACAAAAAATCCCGGTGGTCAAATAGTCTTTACAGTGGAATAAGAGCAGAGACTTTATGGAAAATTTAGGAGTTTATTGCCGTAGAGGCTTTCTAATTATGGGAAACGACTTAAAACGTTTAGTAAAGTCGTAAAGACGGACGGGGTGATCAAAAATTCAAGAAAAATAACTTGCCTGGAAAAGATTAGGTCCGGCTTTTTTTGTGTGACAATATCAAACCTGCTCGCGCTAGGAGTCAATAGCCACCTTTTAAAAAACGTCTCTTTTGTCTCAAGTGATCCTTTTGGTTTGAAACATGAGCAAAAGCTTGAAATATATGTTTGTCTCAAGTAACCCAACCCTAGCGTCTGACATGAGACAGTCAAAAAAAATAAAAAACCCTGGGTAACTCCGTTATTCACATAAAACTCAACTTATAAAACCGATTCTACGGATTAAGACTCAACTTTTGATGTGTTTTAATCATCACTAAATTAAATAGTTTCGAAAATATCGCTTGCTGAAAGTCAAAATCGTCTAAAGTCACCCGATTTTACGGTATAAGGCTCATCATTGGAGTAAAAAATGTAAATTTTTGTTTTTAATTTTGAACATTCTCAAATGAGGAAACAATACCTATATCAGTATCTACCCCAAATTCCCAAGACATCGAGTACCTACGAGGACAAAATCATCATATGTATGTAAAAAACTTCAAAGGCTTTAAACAGCCGTAAAAACCAGACAGCCGACAAATTACTTAATCTTTGTCGATTCGTCTTGCGGTCTTGTTGTTTTGAAATGTTCTTTCCGTCGCTGTTTCGAGTAACCAATTTATAAACCCCCCTCGAAAATTGACAATTTTTTTGACAAATGGGCACAAGTGCGTCTATAGCTAAAGGCGCAAAAGTGTGCAATTATCGTAAAAGACTCGATTTATGACTGTAGGAGCCTCGGGCCTTTGATAATGTTTACATTAATAGTTTGGATAATATATGGCATATCTACTTAGTTGCTTTTAAAGCCTGTAGGACATTTATAACTCAAAAACAAATAAACGATGTACCTTTTTGGCACGCGGTTATTCGATTTGATTCAGCGAACTTATTTTAGGATACGAGGATAAGTCGAACAAAAAGCCCAGAAGAAATCGGACAACTTTTACTGCAGCTCAACTAGCAGCTTTGGAGAAAGTTTTCGAGAAAACTCATTATCCTGATGCTTTTGTACGAGAGGATTTGGCTTCTAAAGTTAGTCTCAGTGAGGCTAGAGTACAAGTAAGTGATTTTATGTTGAAAGATTTTGTATCTAAATGATCAGAGGTTTATATAAATTAGTAGTTGGTTCTAGATACGGAAGTTTATGAATGCACTTAATAATTTTATTTTGTAGTCTTTGAATTGGTTTTAATATTGAGTCATTTGCAGATCCCCATATCGAAACTAGATATTGAATTTTTGAATGGAATAGTGCATAGTAAATGTTTTTCAAATATTTTAAAGGAATGTAGTACCTCACTTTATATAATACGCCAACTAAAGGAGATAAACTTTGTAACATGTTGTTTATATGTTCTTTCCATGTTATATTTTCATCTATATAAAGTCCCAAAAATTTAATTGAATTTTTATACTGTATATTTATTGTCCTCAAATTTTATCGGATTTTTTGGCTCAACTGAAATTATTTTTTTATCAACAAACATATAAAATGATTTTTCAAAATTTATAGTTAGTTTATTTGCCTGAAGCCAATTTTGCAGCATTTTTAAATCATTCGTAACAGTAGACAATAACAAAATTGAAAATCGTGTAGATATTGTAAATAATTTAAATTCTCACTTCGCGAATATTGGAGAGAATATAGTTAATGAACTGAATGAAGAAATGAACCTAACTGATAATAGTTTAGAATTTGATGAGGTATTATGTAATAACCAAATAACAAATAATGTTGAATTGACGAATTTCTGTGAGGTTGATGAAATTATACAGGAACTAAAAAAAATTCGGCACCAGGACACGATGGAATAACAACAAAAGATATAATTAGTTTAAAAAATTATATTCTAGAGATTTTAACGAAATTAATAAATAATGTACTTGTTTGTTGCACTTTTCAGCCAGAATTAAAAATTAGTAAAATAAATCCTATATTTAAATCAGGAAAGGCGGATGTTATGAATAACTATAGACCTATCTCAGTTATTAGTATTTTTTCAAAAATTATAGAAAAAATCATTAAACGTAGGATGCTGCAATTTATTGGAAATAATATGGAAGTTGACAGGTTTCAGTATGGTTTCATCAAGGGTAGTAACACACTATCAACTACATTCGATTTTGTAAATTATGTCTCAAAAAACCTTGACCAGAAAAATGTGGTGGTTGCAATATTTGTCGATTTGAGGAAGGCTTTTGATGTAGTTTCATTGGATAAAATGCTACATAAATTGGGTTTACTGGGATTTCAGGGTATTTTTTTATTGTTAATTAAGTCATATGTGAGGGATCGTTACCAATATGTAAAACTAAACAATACTCAAAGTGAAATGTTAACAAATAGATGTGGGGTACCGCAGGGGTCAGTATTAGCACCTTTGCTTTATTCAGTATATGTTTTAAATCTTAGACTAGCAAATCTCACAGCGCATTATTTTACATTTGCTGATGATACGGCCCTTATCTACACAGGAAAAGAAGAAAGTCATTTGAAAAATCAAATAAACGCAAATTTAGATCGTTACCTTGAATGGTTGTATTCAAATAAATTGAAAATTAACTTAGATAAAACAAAATATTTAGTGTTTAGACAAAAAAATAAAATAGTTGGTAATATTGGGATTAAAATAAACAATATCTCTCTCGAACAAGTTGAAAATATTAAATATTTAGGACTAAGTATTAATTGACGATCTCTTGCTCTGGAAACCCCACATTAATCACGTAATTGAAAAACTAAATGCAATGGTACCGATCTTATATAAATGTCGACAATATCTTACATATAATACAAAGATGAATGTATACAATTCATATTTTCTTTCCCATTTAAGGTATCTAATTCCCATATGGGGCATATGCAGTTCGACCAATTTAAATGATATTCAAGTTCAACAAAACAAAATTTTAAAGGTTCTTTTTAATTACAATATACTAACTAACACAGAATATTTATATACACAACTAAATGTGTACAAAATAGAAATGTTACCTACTTCAGCTTGAGCAGTGCAAACTGATGTACAAAATTATACATAAACAACAAAAATGCAACTCAGGGCTAGTTTTTCAGAATGAAATACATACTAAACAATGTTTATATTGGCAATAGCAAAATAAATATTGGTCTTCATTCCCCCATGCATTCTGCATCTAGGAGTTATAATAATTTACCTATTAATTTAAAAGAGTTACAAAGCTTTAGTCAATTTCATAGGAAACTCAAAATGCACTTAGGTACTAATAAGTAACTTAATAATAATATTTGTTTTCATAGAAATATTAAAAAAAAATATGAATGTACCATAAAAAAAATTATGAATAAATGGTTAAAAAAAAAAATTTGAAATATTTGATTTTATATTATCGAACGTTTTCCCCTTATATATAATTGTCGTATCATCTGCAAATAATCGTATTTTACCGTTTAATTTTAATTTTTCTATCGAATTGATGTATATTAAAAATAATATTGGTGCAAGCACTGAACCTTGTGGTACTCCACATGTGATTTTTTTAAAATAACTTTGAGTTTTATTTATTTTTACAAATTGTTGTCGATCTTTCAAATAATTCTTAAACCATTCGTGAATTTTACCCCTTATTCCAATGTTATATAATTTTTTCAATAATATATTTTGATCTACAGTATCAAACGCTTTTCTTAAGTCTAGAGATACAAGACAAGCCTTATAGTTGTTATCAAGATTAATTTGTATGTCTGTGATTGCATCCAAAGCAGCCGTTTCTGTATCTCTAGACTCACGGAAGCCATACTGTCCATCATATAATCTGCCCTATGAATAAAAAAGAGCATTTGCTTTTTCTCGCAAAATCTGAAGCAAATGCTTCATCCAGTATGAATAAAAATTCAAGCAAAACCTTATACTTAAAAGTCGGAAGCAAATGCACCAGGAAAAAGTAAATCCTCTTTTTCTTATGAATAAAAGAGAGTATTTGCTTCAAATTGGGAGCATTTACTCCTTGCAAAATGCATCTGCTCCAGAGCAGATGTATGTTTACTATTTTGGTAAATTATTTCCGAATATTCTTATTTCCCGTTTTTTTTGTAGATTGTAGATTGCATTAGCAGTCGTTATAGCTTGCTCCAGCTGCTCTAGCGTTCAAGATTTGTAGGCTCCTTCCAAAGGAGGCCAGCTTCCTGGGTGGTAAAGTACCCACCTCTTGGGGTGTGAGCAAGGTATTTCAGCCTTTTGCAGAAGTGACCAGGGCATTCACAGATTAAGTGTTCTGTAGTTTTCAATGCTTGTTCGCAAGATCTGCAGTAATCGTAAACTGATTTGCCTATTGTTTTAAGGCGATTTCACCAGAAACTGCCCAGTGAGCAGTCGACCAACGACTCCTCTAATGTCTCTTCTGTTTATTGTCAAGAATCTGTTCAGATCTCAGATATATGAACCTTCTTCATCTGTTAATTTCTTTGAAGACATGGCTTTTCATTAGTACACAGAAAGCCACTGGGCCTTGAGAAGGTGTTAAAGCACCTTGCTTTGTGAGACAGCCCGCCTCCTCGTTGCCCTCTTCACTTTATTCCTAAGCTAAGTGTTTAAGGATATTTTTACCCTCCCAAACTAGCTGAAAATTGCACTTGATTGGGTTCTAGAACGTTTAGACCCGCTTGACTGTCGGACAGTATGTAAATGTGCTCTATCAAAAGGACTCGACAGTTGCTTATGGCCAGAACCTCAGTTTGAAATTTTGTGGACGTTCTGCCCATTGCTATTGAGAGTTTCAACTTTAAAGTTTGGTCCAGTTATTCCGAGACCGACTCCTTCCGTTACCTTCGAACCATCTGTGTGACTGTGTACCACCAATCAACGGTTCCATAATGATGCGTTGTCCGCTTGCGATGGCTTTGCGTTCTTCCATGATTAGCGTTTTTTTACTACCACTTCCTATGGATCCATTGATATTATCGTTCTGGTGGTTTAATTTGGCATTCAAGTCTTAGATTCAAGCAACAGATACAACAGGTTATATCTTTCACTTCATTTCTTTGAAGCATATGCTCGCAAGTAAAAGGTCTTCATTATTCATATGATATGAAGTAAATGCTTCCACTTCTACCTTTTACTTGAAGCTTTTGCTTATACTTCTACCTTTTGCTTAGAAGCAAATGCTCTATTTTTATTCATACGGCTCAATATTTTTTTTTTGTTCTAAGAAATTTGATAATTGTTTATACATTGCTTTTTCAATTATTTTAGAAAAAACTGGTAGTACCGAAACAGGTCTGTAATTGTTTGGATTATCTGAACTTTCCATTTTTTAAAATTGGCGTTAATTTTGCGATTTTCATTTTTTCAGGAAATTCTGATGTTTTGAATGTCAAAAAAAATAAATATTCTAAAATTGGAGTTAACTCACTCTTAATTTCTTTGATTACTTTAACAGAAATCTCATCATAACCATTAGCTTTTTTTGAATCAAGATTATTAATAATTTCTGCAATATCTTCGCCCAATGTATTTTCATCCAAAAACATTGAATTTTGATTCAGTACTTCATTTTCAACTTTCCTACTTGGAATTTTTCTTGCCAAAGAGTTACCGATTTCTATAAAAAAGTTATTCATTTTCTCGCATATGATTTTTTCTTGGAAGATCTCTTTATCGTTTATTAGGAGTTTTTCAATTTTTTTCTTTTGAATTTTTATTTTTTTTTGTTAAAATGGTGTTGATATTTTCCCAAATTCCCCTAGGATCTGATCTTGTAAATCTTTCTTTAAAGTATTTTCTTTTTGTTTCTTTTATCTTCTTCTTCACGTATTCATTCATAATTTTATAATTTTGTTTATTGTGTGCATTATAAGGATTTCTTTTTTTTTTTCTGGTATAGTTTATCACGTTCCTTCATCAGATTATAGAGTTCTTGATTAAACCAATCTTCACTGTTTTTCTTTATTTTTATTATCTTCCTATATGAACATTTTTGAATAATATTTGTTATTGTTTCATATAAAGAGTTTGTTTCAGTAAATATTCCTTTAAGTACTTAGATTCAGATCGTTTAAGTGTGTTTTCAATTTTTCTATA